ATTACGAAAATTAATATTTCGCTAAGGTTAAATAACATTTTTCCATGGCGTTAATAAACTTCATGATGCAGTGGTTCATGTACTTATGGTCCCTTGGCCGAGAAACTGGATGAATTGTCTTCGGCCTCTCCGCTTACCTCCCAAGTCTTACCGATATTCAGCCTCAGATTATACACACCTCAAACACAATGACAAAAGCCAGTCTTACAGCTAGCAGTCGCCAGAAGAAGGGGGTGTGGTCTCCTTTCTCGTCCCTCAGCCCACGGTACCGACATGACTGGGGCATAGTCCCCGGGGGGGCATAGGCCAGCGTGAAGTTGACGTATCCCACCAAGTTCCAGTCGTACTCGTACTGATAGAGCAGTTTGGGCAGGAACTCGGACGTAAAGGCGATCAGGAACGCCTGCACAGTGAATCAAAACTTTGCACCACAGGAGGCACAAGGAAGTAGGCTCGCTGAATGTCCGGCGACGACACTCACATTGCTGATGACGGCTAGGTGTGCCAGCATATGCAGGATCTTAAACCAGATGCCGATATTCTCTGCGCGCTCCGCCACGATGCGCCTCGTCTCACAGACGAACTTCTGCGCGTCCAGTCGGATCTCCACCCAGTTGTTGAGGAGCGCAAACAGCGGCGCCAGAGGGAAGGCAGCGACAAAGATGGTGATGAAGCCGAACTGGAGAACTGGAGAGGAGGTTTCTTACATGATTTACCACTCACGCCCATCTCAAAATATTTTCTTCTGAAAAATCTCTAGCTTGTGTAATACACAATAACTGAGAATTTACAATTTTTGGGATGTTCCAGTAACTAATGAGAAGAATTCACCCTTCTTGAAACCCCTAGCGAATGGGAACTCACCCATCTCCAGATACTCTTGGAAGAGGCCCTCACTGTCGATCAGTTGGTAGTCCTCCTCCCACCTTGTCATGTGATTCTTCGATAATCTGACCTGCGCAAAGCGGAATGTCTCATTCTACATATCAGCCCACAGTTCGCTAATTTCCTCAGGTTTCAAACATAATGTCACTGTCCCACACACATTTTGTAACACGGACGTCCCCAAGTTTTGTACACGTGGCTTCAGAAGTACATTT